TAAGAAAATATAGAAAAAAATGAAGAAGATCTGTTAGCAAAATGGATATTTGGTTCGAAGTCCTAATAGAACTTGAATACGAATTCATCTCAAAATACAGTAACACCCAGGCTGAAGAGTACCAAAAATTAAAAAAAGAAAAAGAAGAATACTTTATTAGAAATATTAGAAAAATCTTTGTAGAATATCTCAAAATCAAAAGATCTTTAGTAAAATACAAAAAAGATTCTTGGAAAGAAGACCAAGTTTTAGAGAAAAAAAGAAAAGCAGGAAGTCCAAGAAAAGAAAAAGAGGAGAACTCATGCAGACTAACCAAAACCTCAAAAAAAAAACCAGAAGAAGACTTAAGGTTCCTGAAGAAAAAGAGAACATATAAAAAAGTATTCTTGGAAGAAACTATTAGAACAAGCCCCCAAGAAAAGAAAGAAAATACAAAGACACAAACCAGAAAAAAAAGGTTATAGGAAAGAATATGAAAAAACTCTTAAAACCCAGGTCTTAAAGTAGAAAGAACAGGTTAAATTAGAAGAAAAGTAAAAGAAAAAAAAAATATAAACATGAACAAAAGAGGTTTGGCAATAATCCTGTATTGGAAAAGGAAGTTATTTGATTTATTCTTAGAAAATTAGATTTAGAACTTTGTATAAAAAAGAAGGATAGTTTAGAAAAGAAAATTGCCAATGTAATGTAGTAAAAAATTTATTTATTTCAAAACTGTCTTGTGATAGTTTCTTAGGCTAGCTTGGTATAGCTCTCCAATATAGGCAATAGCTTTAACTAGTGAGGCAGACCAGGATCCTGAACAATCTATATAAGGTCATATTTGAAAAATGCTAATAACACCTTTTTTTTAAAAAAGGTTATATTTGTAATCTAGATAATAAATTTAAAGACTATATTTCAAAATAGATAATCAGATTTTAGGTTAGATTTAAAATTTTGCTAATAGTAATTATTTTAAAAACCTTTATATTTGATTTTTTGGTAATGGTATCTAATTTCGAATAAGATAAATAATATACTTATTTCAAATTACAGTAAGAAAACTTTAAATTCTATATATTTATCATTACCGTTTCAAGTTTTAGTGTTGCTAATAATTGATGACACAATTATATGGCAAAGTTAGCTTTTATTAATAATCATTAAATGATTGATATATATAATAAGTATAAAGTTAGAAAGTCATATAGTTGTGCTTTTAATTATTGATAATGCTAAAACCAATATAATTTTTTAAATTTCTATCAAACAGGAACAAATACTTGATAAGCTAAAATAAAATTTTTAATTTAACGTTAAATGATAAGTTTATGTAACTTAGTTTTAACCAATAATTTTCTGCTTGTAGCTAGGTATAAAAATCGATTTTAATGTTCTTATAGCAACTCTATTTACATATTTAGATTAGTAGTTACTATATGTGGAAAGTTATTTAATTATTATTATATCTACATGCTAATAATTTTGCTAGTTTTGTTTGCTTTACAAAGTATATATATATCTTTTGATCTGTTTAACAACAAAATTTTTATTTTCAAAAAGAAAAATTCATAGTATTTTCTAATCTTAATTATTATTAATCTAAATTATTTATATTTATATTCAATAATAATTTTATAATGATAACCAAATTTATACTAGGCTAAATCAAAGAGATGCTACTTTATTAAATTATGTAATTTCTTATTAGATACAAAAGAACAATATCTAGAATAATAATATTGCATTAGAAGCATCATGTATATTTCTTTATACAGTTAGTTTTAACAATTACGATACTAATTTGGTATAAAATATTTATACAATTAAAGAATATAATATTTTTTGATTTAAAAATTGATTTAAATTTCTGAAAATTTTTAGCATGCTTATTTTTTAGTTATATATTGTGTTTTGTAAATTATATCAATTTTTTATAAATGACTAAATACATACTTGAGCGTTTTCAAAAACATCCTAATGTTTCTCGAGTAATAGAAGGTAGCATAGCTGTTATCTGTATTTGTAGAAAGCAAATTACTTTTAAGTCAAAATATAATGAAACATATCTTGATTCTCATGCTAATGGACCAGGATGCAATCGGTCTAGTAGAACACATACAAAAATCTATGAACAAAAGTATGTACTTTGCAAAGAATTATGTAATATTAATATATTGAATGAGTTCAATTCATTTCATTATATGGTAGTGCATCACGCAAAGATACTATTGTACAATCTATATTTCTAGATCTATTTCCAGAAAATACTTTAGTTCGATATATATTGCTTAATAAAGATTAACATGAACAATTAAATAATGCTGAGAGAATGCAAGCAAAATAAAAAATTGAAAGAAGAGCAGTCTATGCGCAGAATTGTCAAACTTATACTTCAAATATTTCAGAAATTTGTGATCAATGTATTTTTATTAATTCAGATCAAGTTTTTCGTATAAGTAATTTAATATAATATATAATAAAAAAAATTAAAGTATTTATATAGAGTACTGCTATTTAGAATACTTTAAATAAGCGACTGTCTATTAAAGAAAATAAAAATTTATATCCAAAGCTTATCTTAGTTCACATCTGCTTAGTAATTACCTTTCTAATTCTGATATTGCTATACTCGCAACTCTTACAAAGTCTGATAATAATCAATCTGCCTCATTTTGAAAAATACTTGTTAATATAGGTAAGTGTAGTGCTTTTAATAAAAAAGATACTTTTGAAGGCTTATGTAAAGTTATGATTGAAATAACAAAATAGCATGAAGAAGAAAAAGATTACAAAACTTAACATATTCAGAGAAATTTTCAGATTTTATATCAATTCTTGCATCTTTAAGTTTATGAACATATAATCTTTTTCGACAAAATTTAGCTAGAAGGATAATTCAAAATATTAGATATATCTATAACTATATATTAAAAATATTTGTATGTAATAATAACATTTAGAGTACTCTATTTATACTGTGTAATAATAACGTTTAAACTACTTGTATAAATAATTGATTCAATTGTATAACTAATTTTTTAAACTTTAAATAAAATAACTTTTCTTGAGCTTCTAATTAAAGTTGTAGGGAAGACTTTTCTGGTTCTAATAATATTTAAATCATCAAAATCGGCTTGGTGAATCCCAAGATATTTGGGTTTAAAGGTACGAATATAAAGATTTACAAATTGGTGGTTACACAAAGTCTTATAGTTTATAATACTATATTTTTAAATTAGAAGGCCAAGAAAGATTATCTTATTAAAAAACTTCTTTAAATCTTAATTATATATAATATATATATTTTTTTAAAAATTAAAGAAGT